AAGCTACAGAACCATTAACCAGTACCTGCCGCCTACGTCTACGGCACTAAATTGTAGGTTATAAGTTTTTTGTTTCTAATTTCTGTTTTTGCTTATCTTAACAAACAGTTACTAGCCTAAGGTTATACATTAGAAAAAAAAAAGTAAAGAAAAAAAGGAAATTTGCTTTTTCTTGCCTTTGTGGGTACTTCCTCAATTATTCCTCCAAAAAACTGCTTGCTGAACTGCGTTGACCGATATTAATATGCATATGTTATATCATCCATCTTTTTTTAAAATTAAGCAGCTAAAAATACTGGGTGAAAATCCGCCAACATTGTGTCATCTCTATGTAAATTTTTTTTCATATCTTCTCGCTTGTAACTCTGAAACTATTATTATCACTTATGTTATTGTCAAACCTTTTTTTGACCTACTGATTATTTTAACAATCAATTCGTAGAAGTCTTCTTACCTTTGTTTGTTAATCTTTTTAGTTCTATTTTTTTGCTATTTTTTCTTTAATTATATGTGGAAAATCGCTTTGTTTGTTTATAAAAATTTTGTGGGAAATGATCGTTTAAATTTCACCTGTTATATACATTTTTTAAGCTTTGACAGTTAGTAACACATATCAGTGAGATGCAAAGTTGAATATTAACTAAACTGTTGAATGTTAACTGTCAATTAAAAATTTTTACAATAGTTTGCTGTTTGCATCTGGAATGTAGTAGAGATAAATTGGATTCGGACAACTTTCTATAATGGGTCAGAAAGAAACGATATTAAGCTGGATCTTTAGAAAATTCTTTTTTTTAACTGTGCCGTGTTTCTCACTTGTAATTCAATCACATTTGTCCTCAACAAGCAAGCGTTTCTTTTAGTGGCAATTGTCAAAAGACGTCTTAAAAACATGGAATTCTTCTATGACCCTTTAAAAGCAGCTATTTGAATAGGCGACTAGCTTACAGCAGTTTTCGCGTGCTCGACTAAATTTCCAAGTGTTTGGCATTCTCACTCTAAGATCCCAACGGTTCTTCAGTAAATAGTTTTACTTCTGTGCGTGTAATTTACAGAAATTTACTCATATAATATCTATTTAACCGATATCTGTATGGAATTTCTAAACGCCACTGATGCGGTCTTGAAATCTTTTCTAAAACCTATGTTGTGATTTCTTCTCTAAATGAGCATAAGGCGTTCCATCTGCGACAACAAGAAACAACTTTTTCTTTCTATATTTGGTATTACGCCTTTACGAAAGTAGTAAAAACGTTGATGCCGTAGAAATGTTGTATACTTACTTTTTCAAGCGGCAAATCTTGGCTTGAATCACTTTTATCTAACTTTTTTCAGCACAATATAGCGCTGCTTTTTTCTCATTTCTTATCCACTTCTTGACCTGTCATTTTTAGAAAGCAACTTTCTATTAAAATATTTTATTTTTTTTAAAAAAGTTTTAGTTGTTTGCTTTCCTGCTTCAACAGAATTAATTAAAAAACAGCACGTCTGGACTGCACAAAAGAACCTTTCTTTGAGCTTTTTTTAAACCGTTTTAGCATTAATGCTATGATGTTCGCAGTCAACTTTTGTCAGAATCTGACCGTAAGACACGCATAAAAATAACCGATATTAAAAATTTCGAGTTTATCTTTACTTCATTGTCAGAAATAACTGCTTTTTCATTTCTTTTTTTACGCTAAAACCGTCAAGATTTCAAGAACGTTTTACATTTTCTGCTCTTGATATCTTTGTTTTACGCATTTTACACAACTTTTGAGTACTTTTCTGGCGGAAATCTGCAAAATAAACGGGTTGCGATGGACCAACAATTTGAAAAGGAGCAGATTAATAAGGATATTTCCCTGGACGGAGTAATTAAAGTAACTGTTTTCAGCAAAAATGAGGTTGCTTTACTTTGACTATGGCTTACGAATTAGAGCTGTTAGGGTCGAGTGTGACTTTTTATAACATAGTGGCCACTTTTCTCGTAATGCCGCAGGATTGTTAAAAGCCCTTTTCTGTTTGAAGTTTTGACCTCAATTTTTTTGTAACTATAAACATTTTGTCTTTTGAATGAAACTAATTTATTGGCAAACAGCGTCTTTCGCATCAAAATTCTTAACAGTTAAATTTTTCAGTCTCTTCTTTAAAAGTGTGTCGTGGCTTAACGCGGCAGAATTTTTTACTGTTACGTCGCTTCAGCATGTACACCAGAGCAGATTCAGTAATCTTAAACCTTTCATAAAATTGTCAATTTTTTATTACAATTTTAAGGTACGTCCGTCTGTCTATTTGAGTTTTGTATCATTAAGTCAGCTCCGTAGTATAAAAAGGCAGCAGAGGACAGCCCTCCAAAGACCAGAAAAGGAAGCAAATTTTATCGGGCATTACTTTGGCTTACTACTCTCTGTAATTTTCCTATTTTTTTTAATTTTTGTCTTTTTTAGTTGCCGCGCCGAATCTATTTACCTGCTTTTGCTATCCCTGGCCATTTATATTCAATTGCTCCCTAGTGGCGATATGTGCAAATCCACTTTTAATACGTGCTCAATATAAACCTATAATTACATAAGTAATTCCTGCCATTACTCAGTTTCAAAAACTGGACTCTGGGCCGAAAAGAGGTATAATTAACTGCTTTGGAGCAAGTTGATGTCTAGGCTATGGTACAAGCAAATAAACGTCAATGAATGTTCCACATCGGTTTTGGTGTGTAGGGTAAAAAGCAAAAAACACAGTAAGTGAAGCCCAAAAAAATTTGCTTGACAAGACTACTAATAAGTTAAAGGAGGATTTATCAGAATGTTATAAATTAGCAGAAGAGAAACTAAAACAATTAACAAAAAGGTAGCTTCGCAACCGCAAATTTTTAAGAGAAATGTTGATAGCGGAGTTCCTAAGCTGGGGCAAAAAAGAGCAGAGAGCTACTAAAGAAATTAAAGGCAGAAGAAAAAGACTAGCTGAAGAGGAGTGTTGGCAGCACGTTTCAAAAGAAGACAAGCTATTTAGCACTTCTAATAGGAAAGGTAAAAAAGTTTATTTGTAGACGAAAGAAAGGAGAAGGAGGCAGGTTAGAAATCAGAATCTGAGTCAGTAAAATCAAATTTGCAAAAAACCATCAAATTTTTAAAAAAACTTTATCCTTGTATAAAAAAAATCCTCTAAAATAAGAAAATTTTACAGATGTCTTCAGAACAGCAGCAGACGAGCAGGGTATATCGCCAGTACAAAAATCCAATTATCTAATATTATATTTGAAATGTAATGTATATAAACCTACAGCAGGAATCAGGTTAGCAAGCAGAAACTATGAGAAAGTAAACACAATTTTAAGAAAGTAATTTCAGGAAGCCAATTCTGATCAAAGGGTTACCTTATGCTCAATTAAAATTTACTGCAAAATTGAGCAGTAACACTTTCAAATTAATACAGATATTTTTTGACATCGATAGGTTAGTGAGGCAATTGGAAGCATCAAAACAAAATTTTA